GTTGCTAGGTGACATGACCTAACATAACATAACCGCCAGGGTGGAGGGGAGGCTAGACCGTCCAAATTCACAGCCGCGTCTTTTTTTCCGGTCTTCCCGGTCTACCAAGGACCCGGCCCACCTCGACAGGGTAGTCTGGGTCCTCCGGAGGACCCGGCCTGTCGTTTTGGACACAGCCATGGACTGCTGCCATTGTTAAAAAAAAACTACGGACACTACGCAGAAAATCGACGTCGTCGTTCAAAACTCCTCCCTCTGTTCTCTGATTGGCCCGACTGAAATGCTCCAGAAGAAATCCTTGCCTATGGGAGAAATCCCAGACGGAGCAGTGACGTGAAACTAGAATGAAGCGGATGAAATGCGTATGAACGCAAGGGCCAAGCTAAGTTGAAAAAGTTGTTTATGTATTGTAACCCCAGATTCTATGAGTATAGGCGCAGCCCTTTAAGGCTATCGCTAGTAGGTTTATCCCCCGCGCGCGGGGGATAAACCTACTAGCGATAGCCTTAAAGGGCAAAGCTTATACCAAATAGAACAATCTTTATCAAATTCTAAATGCTAATCCAAAATTCAAGATGGCCACCACAGCTAACTTCAATTGGCTATAATTCAGCTATTTTAAGACTTATTGAGATGACATTTGTTGTGGAGTAGCAACACACCAATTGCCAATGCTAAATTAAGCTAACCGCTAATGCTAATTTTGCAAAAGGCTATAATTTAGCTATTTAAAAGAACAAAGAACATATATGGTGCAGTAGTATCAGAGAACAATCTCATAAAAATACAAAAACCAACGTCTCCATCCACTTGTTGTAGGGGTGGCCAATCGGGTACCAAGGCCACCCCTCTGGCTCTGCTCACCAGGTCCTGGTTTACCTGAATCAGTTCTGAGGACCTCATCTCTTTGCTGACGTCGGCACTGTCCGAGATCATCGACTCCGGGAAGAAAAGCTGCGACAAGAATCAGAGGATCGTCATTAAAGACTCAGAACCACAGGGTCTAACCAGAACCTGGTCTGTCGCGGGTCTCTGCCTACCGCTGGGTTCCTGAAGAACTCGTACTTGGCGTAGTTTTTGCAGAAAACAAATCTCAGGTTGTTTTTGAGGGACCAGGAGCCCTGAACCCCCAGCACGACTTCGTGGTCCTCCAGACACCTCTCTGCGGACGACAGGAGAGTAACAAAGCGGCTCGGAGGTTTCCGCCTGCTTCCAGGTGGTTCTGGCACTTGGTCTTACCCAGAGCCAGGGTGGGGTGATGCTCCAGGAGGGCCCAGTTCTCCTGGTCCAYGCAGTGGGCCGTCTGAACCAGCAGGTGGCACACCTCTCTGGCCGTAGCTTGGCGAGAGATCCACAAYGACCTGGAGCGAACGTCCTCGCCGTAGACTCGGATCATCTGAGGAAAACTCACATCCTTCAGAGGAAATCTCCCTTCACGGTAGTTTTGTTTTTAACGAAGACAAACAAAATATTAGCTTGAGAAATGTGAAGTGTGAATGCCGAAAGCTGCTGAATAAGCYGAAAAGCTTTTGACGAGTAAAAATTAGCAATAAACAAGAAAATAAATTAGTTTGAAATAGCTAAAAA